TATTAACTAATGCCTCATGAGTCATGACGATATTAACTAATGCCTCATGACGTCATGACGTCATGACGAAATTAACTAATGCTTTATGACATCATGACATTAACTAAAACTACATGCTCCGAACCAGGAGCTAGCAGACGAGTTGGACGCCATTCCGGAAAACCTGGAATATTTCAGCAAACATGCCCAGGCAGAGGCAAATAAGAGGCTGTGTGGGGGCTTCTGAATAACACCGATATTCTCGTTGAGTTCGATCAGGGTAAGTGCGAACTGACAGGACTTTGTCCTGATAGGAGAACGAAATTGGGGTTTTTCAGGGCGAGTGCTGATGAACATTGAATTCGAAACACCGGACCTATAGAGATGAGTATCCAAGAATTATCGACTTATTCGGTTCCTGGGCCGGACGGAGTTTCTGCAGTGTTATTGAAGGTCTCACTTATTTTGCTCTGGAAAACATTATTGAGAGAATAAACGTTCCTAGTTACCTAAAGTTGGGGCTAATTACCCAAATCTACCAGGAGGTGCGAACGACAAACCCCAAAATTACCGGCCGGTGACATTAACAACGCATGTAATCAAGGTATTTGAGAAGGTCGCGGCCATGAGGTTGGGAAAGTACGAAGTTAACCTTCTCAATGGAAGACAACAACTCGGTTTCAGGGAACAAACATCGGTCTGTTTGAACCAATAGTCTCCCAATAATAGTCTACCAATCTGTAGCTACAGTCTGCAAACAACACAATAACAGACACTCTACAATTCACAGTCTCAATCCAACAACATGCAACCAACAGTCTGTTGACATATTGTTCTCTGTTTAATTTAGGCCATATTTCTCAAGTTCAAAAGTATCTTGTGACGTACTTCATGTGCATGAGATTCAGTTCGCCCGAGCGTATGTATTCGGTGTCACCAGAAATTTCCGGAGTTAGATTAGGTACGTGATTGAATTTCCGTCTAAGTGCGTAATTGGTCTCAGCTGGAAGAAACCGATCGATTATATTTTATTCATGCATTCATAATATTTCGTGGGGTTATGTTTCATGCTGTACTGAGGGGCACCTTATGAATATCCATTATTGGGTGGGTTTAACGAGTAAATAATAGTCTTCTGCTCTCCACTCCTCTGATACGGGAGATGATTTCCATTCATCCAGTAAACCCTGCAGGCGTATAGTGCTCGCATTTATGGGGCGTTGAGCAAGCGATGACACACGGCGGTCATATTCTCTTGCCGCAGTTTTGCAGCCGAGGAGGCAAGTCTCTTTAACGAAGCCGTTCAATACTGGCCGAGTGCCTGCGCAGCTAAACTCTGCTGTGAAAAATCATTTTCTCGATATAAATAGGGCATACTTTGAGCTGTTGACCACCATGGTTTTGTCAAAATAAAGCAATGATTCGCTAAGTTAGTTCCCTGAAACATTGTTGTCCAATCTGTTTTCGAGGTTACGAAAGTTGACACACTGCAAAGTGAGTCACGGCACCGTGAATGATGATGATCCAGTTGCATGCTCCCACGGGAGACCTTGACTAACTTCTAGCCAACTTTTATATGGGAAACTATCGCTCACAACACTAATTATCAAGGATGATACAAAATATTCAAGTGATTAATTATGAAAAACCACACCTTAAAATTACAATTAGATGGTCTTTCACAATTTTTAAACACTGAAAACTTATGTTGAAGTGATTTTCTGTATCTGGCGGCACTCGGCATCTTGCAAGAAGCGCGGAAGCGACGGCAGCGTGGGCGGCTGCTGCTCAATGAAGTATCGACCAGTTCCGTTTCATCCGTCGCAGTTGTCGTACTCAACTAGAAGCTCAACTTACATCCATTTCATACATCCCAGGATATCCGCAAAACATTTATTCTATTCATATCAGGGTAAAGAGAGCAACTCTGTCGCAGGAATTCATTTCATTCCCAATGTTGAGCCGCAGAATACGCGCTATAAAGCTCCGCTTGATGCACGTATTGCGACACCTGGTCACCGCTCCGTAGTTCCTCCTGGGGTGCACTGTACCCTCACTCACTTCCCTCGCGCTATCAATAGTTTGTGTGGCCTCAAAGCTCCAACCTCGGCCCACCAGATCCTCCAAGTCGCCGCCAAAACCCTTATTCCCCCCTTAAAACCCTTAACTTCCCCTCTCTTACCCCCCTCACGACCCCAACAGTCCCCAGGCTGGGGCTAAGGCTTGTTCATGGCGTCGGTTGCAGGATCAGCGAGATCTTTAATGGGCCGTTGAAACATTCATCAGGGGTACAAATATCACATAGGTTGAACTTACCAGCCTATAGGTTTGTGAAGATAGATTATTCATGAGATCTTAATTTGAATCATGTGCAGAAAAATTAATAAATGAGACCGCTCCTGGTTTCATCTGGGCAATTTGATTCACTGATAAAAATACTGCTACTGATAAAAATAATAACATTCATGATTACTCAGTCTTTGCCCACCCAAATAAAACCAATCTTCCACCCCACCAATAATCAGTCCCCCACCCCAAGCGGCCCAAGTACACGTAGCGGCCCAAGTACACGTAGCGGCCCAAGTACACGTAGCGGCTCAAGTACACGTAGCGGCCCAAGTACACGTAGCGGCCCAGGTACACATAACAACCGATTTATCGCCCCTGATTAATGGGTTTACCTTAAAATGTCGTGTCGTCAGTGATTAGCTGACGGAACAACGAACATTCGAATATTCTTGACAGTGCGGCCCAGTGAAGAATAAAAAAAACACTTGAAGAATGTCAAAAAATATAACTCAGTACTCACTGCAGTGAGTAACAGAGAGCTCATTTTCTCGTCGACGAAAAGTGAAGTCACGGACGGACAGACGGACGGACGGACATGGCGAGCACAAGAGCGCAATTTTTCCATAAATAAGAAACTGCGCTAAAAACACTTAAAAAACAGAATGTCACGTGAGAGCCGCTGGAGACGCTTGTTGTGTTTAAATACCAATTACATAAATGTTTGTGCCTTGTACGGTGCGTACGTATTATGAATTGTCAGCGCTCATTTTTACACGTGCGAATATGGTGCATTAGCGCACATGTGCACAAGACAGGGGCCATGTACTCTTGTGTTCGTACGTCCGTATCACGCACACATGGCCGGGAATTTACATGTGCGTGTAGGGCACGGGGGTTTTTAAATGGGGGCTCCGTTAAATGGGGGCTCCGTACATCACACGGGGCTCCAGTTGGAGCAGGCAGCGTATAGGGAGCATCACACGGGGCTACAGGTGGAGGAGGCAGCGTAGGGGGTATCACACGGGGCTACAGGTGGAGGGGCAGTGTAGAGGGTATCACATGGGGCTACATTTGGAGGGGGCAGCGTATTGGGCATCACACGCGGCTACAGTTGGAGGGGGCAGCGTATTGGGTATCACACGGGGCTACAGGTGGAGGGGGCATCACACGCTGCTACAGTTGGAGGGGGCAGCGTATTGGGCATCACACGGGGCTACAGGTGGAGGGGGCAGCGTAGGGGGCATCACACGGGGCTACAGAGGAAGGGGGCAGCGTATGGGGTATCACACGGGGCTACAGGTGGAGGGAGGCGTCGGTACGAGGGCTGCATCTTTGAAGGGAGGTTATTTCTCAAAATTTATCATCGTACGGAGTATTACATAGACATTCTTAATTTATTCTAGTCATTAAGTAAGTATTTGCTGCAGATGGTCCTCAACTTTTTATTTAGAACCAACCTCCGACAGTAAATATATTTTGATTTGAAAGAATTTGAAAACTTAAATCCAAATTAAAAGACTATTATTCACTTATGTATTGCTAAAGCAAATTTAAGTTTATAAAAAGTACTCATGCCGGAGTTTTAAATTGAAAATCTCTTATCTCAATAAGAACTTCATTCAGTCCACCAGTAAGTATGTTTCATTACTCTAGACTCTAGATTATGGAATAGACGCATCTTATTATCTTTAGCGCGCTTAAAATAATGTGTAGCGGCCCAAGAACATACTTACTTGTTGAAGAGGATCATCAACATTTCGATGCATTTTAGGAAAGTTCTTCTTATCAAAAATGAAAAGGAATGATTCTTTGACGCTGAAGATCCCTCAGAGAACAGAGAATGAACAGAGAACCTGCCTCAGAGAGGCAGGGTGGCCCAGTGGTTAAAGTTCAGAGTATCAAGATTGGCGCAGAGAGGCGCGGGTTCGATCTCAGCTCTGTGCACCAGTTTCTGGTCAGAATCGGCGAGGAGGCCGGGCGGTTAAGCACAGCAGAATTGTAGCAATGAGTTGTGTGTTCGAGACCACATCAAGCTGCGAACGCTCTGTGATGTTAAGAATCGGCGACAGGCCTACGGCCTAATAAACGCTGAAACCGCTATTATTATTATTATTATTATCAATAGAGAACAACTTTGAATGAGACTACGCGCGCTGCGAGCGCAGTGTGCCTTACATGATCTCATTTATTTCAGTTTGCCCAATAACAATTAATGGTAGATCACAAAAAATTTGATTATTTATTATTAACTATAACAAAAAATATATTCATACGTATTGAATATAAAATATATTGTAATTTAGTATAAAATATGCAAAATTATGCAAAAAAGTTTCCTCCTTCCCTCGACCTAATTTGAATGAAAATATACACTAAATGAAGTCGTCTCATATAACTATAATATTAATAGTATATAAGCTCGTTCCAATTTAAATGAGTCATGACAAACTGAAGATATCACTGAAATGTTTAGTGAATAGTTATCTAAATCAGCAATATATAAAATTACTCTATTGTTGAAGCACTGTCATTGGGTTGACTGCTAAATAGGTGATACTAGATAAGAATTGTCATGAGATAAAGCTTGTAAAAATATATTTCGAAAGTATTTCCACTTACAATATTATTTAAACCTTATTTATCACACACATTGAAGTTTTTGCTTATATTTAAGAGACTATAGTGTTCCACTGCAGATAAGGCTAGTCCTGATCGTGTTCCAATATCCCAGACGCGCATTGTACTTGAGCTCAGCCACGGGCTTAGGGAGATTGTGTTGTGTACAAGTTTCTTGACAAATATTCTATTCATTTTCTCTTTATTATTTTGTTTTCAGGGAACTAGAAGTGCCTTCTCCATTTTTGATGAGTCTTGTGCTCTTTTCATAAATGTCCGCATTGAATCTTGAAGCTGAAGAGCAACCGCCGTCGAAACGACAACGTTTAGAATTGAGTACAAACGGCAATATTGAGGTGAGTCAGCAGATTGTCATTATTCTAAAGATGTGAACGACTTGGACGTAGGTACCTATACATTTATACTTTATATTATTATAATTTATAGTTAGACTTTTCATTGCATACCGTCTGTATAAAAATCGCATGGTCAGATCGTTTGACCGACAGCTGTCGGACAGCTGAATTGGTATGATTTTTGATGGTGCAATACTGCAATTCAATTTTCCTCCAGATCTCCGGTAGGTTTTTGGCAGAACTGGGCAGCGCTACTTTGAAATTTAGCGGCCGCTACATGCTCTAAATGTAGCGACAGTAGCTGGCGCTACCGATACAATTGTTTAAATGTAGCGCCGCTACCGCTACTGAAAATGTAGCGGCCACTACAAGCCTACATGTAGCGCGCGCTGCTGCCTACCTCTGGTAATGACTAACATGTTGACACTAGTAACGGGATAAGGTTGACTACATTACACCAAAATCTTTCGTACAGTTTTATTCTGTAATTTATATTATATATGTATCATGCTGGTTTTTAAATAATATTTAATACTATTAAGTAAGATCCAAAGGCTCTATCTATAAATGTAGTGGTAGGCCTAGCGCTGTACCGGCAAAACCTTGTATCGCTACTTAAATATGTAGCGGGTGCTAGCGCGCTACCATAGTGACAAACCAGAGCTTTTTTAGAATCGGTTCATTTTTAATTTCCTCATTTACTCAAGATTTAGATCAATTTCTTATGTATGATAATGCTGGTATCCATGTCCCATGATACTTTGCTTGTCTACTTATAGAACTCAAAAATGAACTTGAAGGAGAGTCTAAAAAAACTCTCTGCTTTGCCACTATGCGCGCTACCGCTACGGCGCTACTGCTACAGTTGCTTGAATGTAGCGCTGCTACCACTACTGGAAATTTTAGTGGCCGCTACATGTAGCGCACTACTGCCCACCTCTGGACTCTGGTTTTTGGCTATTAGGTCAGGTGTAGATACTAGAGTGAGAGATAGCGGCCTTGGCACTGGCAGGTCTAGTTTGTCCTGTTTTTTTTTTTTGCACTCTTATAAATTTACATATGAAGTAATGAAGTATCATTAATATTGTTTATTCTAAATTTCTTGATGCAATGAAAAATAAATGTAAAGTTTAAGAGGTTTTAAATACTAGAGTTCCTTCACAAATTTTTTGTTGATTAATTTTTTTAACTTCATATTAAGAAGTTGTCAGCAATCCCATAGTTAACTGTATTTGGAAATTGGAAATGCCAAACTTGCTTAACTTGGTGCCTTTTTATAAAACTGCTGTAATAAAATGTTGCCAGGCATCAATACAAGGCATGATACATCAATTCCTGGTTTCCTGCTCAAGATGTACATGAGAACCATTAAGCTTCTTGCAACTTGCAAGTAAATAAGTAATTCTTGTACAGCAGTGGTTCCCGAACTTTCTCAGGCTGGCGCCCCCTTTGGCTCCCTAGTGAATTTCTAGCGCCCCCCGGCCCCCACAGACATACGCTTCTTTCTTGAAATTTAGTACGCTGCAATTTTAAAAGAGAAAGGTTAAACACAAATGTGTATTTCACAAATTGAACCCCACTAGTGAACCAATATGCTTTTCAGCTATTTAACTGTATCAGCACCAGAAACCTAGGATGTCTGGGGCGAATTTACGGCCAGACTCGTGGCCGATCTCACAACCAATCTCCAAATTCGATTATCAAGTAATATCTCCCAAACTAATGAGCGCAGATCTATGAAACTTTGAACACGTATTCATCAGAACCTAACGGTGATGTTTAGCTTGTGTTTTCTTTTTTATTTCACCTTCATTTGCGAGTTATGCGTATATTGCAAAACAGGCCAAAGTTCGCAGTGATCAAAGAATTTTTTCCAAACTATAGAACAGATTTGATCGAAATTTTGAATATAGATTCCTAACTACCAAACGGTGATATTTTAGCTTATAATTTTTTTTTATTTTACCTTCCTTTGCAAGTTTTTTTTTTTCATTTCACCGTCATTCTTGATTACACACTTCCATATATTCGGCCCGTATCGCCTGGTAATTTGTGACTTAAATTTGCAGCAATCAAGAAATTTCTTCTAAACTACAGAACAGATTTCAATGAAACTCTGTATATAATTACCTAACCTCTCAACGGTGATGTTTAGCTCGGGACAATTTTTTTATTTTGCTTTCATTTGCAAGTTATACAGATATAGGAGGTACGACCAGCTTTTCTACCGGCCGGTTTAACCAAGAGGCGTTTACGTATAGCCGTATAATTCTCAAACGAAGGCAGAACGAAAAAATTGTAACAAGCTAAACATCACCGTTGCTGAGGTTAGGTATTTAAATACTAAGTTTTGTTCAAATCTGTTCAGCAGCTTGGAAATTATTTCTTGTTTACTGCGAATATAAACACGTATTGCTGTTTAAATCACGAATGAAAGTGAAATAAAAAAAAAAAATCGCGATTGAAGGCACAATCAAAACAATTTTCACTAGCCAAACATTACCATTTGGTAGTTAGGACTGCAAATTCAAAATTTTGTTGGAATCTGTTCAGTAGTTTGGAAGAAATTACTTGATCACCGTGAATTTTGGCCCGTACTGCCATATAACTATGGCACAAACAAACGATGGCAAAATTCAAATCATGATCACGAGCTAAACATAATTGTTAGGTCCGAATGATTACGTTTACTAAGTTTCATCGAGTGAATTTGGAAATTGCCGTGATCGCCGGCCGTTAATTTGTCAGAGACGTAAACGCACGTGTTGTGTACAAATCGTCAAACAAACGTTTGAACTTCTGACATCGATTTTGGACTACCGCCCCCCTATCACCCCCCTACCGTCCTTTTCTTCCTTACGAACAAATCTTTCCACCGCCCCTAGGGGGGTGATATCGCCCACTTTGGGAACCACTGTTGTACAGCTTTAATTCTCCTACACTTTCTGAGCCAAAACTAGAGCTTTTCAACCAACAATTTCTGGAGCTGGAAGATTCCTGTTAGATGATTTATGAATCCCCTATCTAATGGTTAACAGCAGTATGCCATTAGTAGGTATGTGCCCAAACCACAATAAAACAACCAAAGTGGCAGGCAGGCAGTTTTTGCTTTGATGTGCTAGAGTCATGTAGTTTAACCCATTAATGACGAGAATTATTTACTGAATTTTTTGGGGGTTCCTTGCGAGAATATTATCATTTGTGATGGTAATAAACAAAAAATATGTTCATATATTGATTTTTCGTTGTATGTGAAAAAATATAGCTTGGTTCCATATGGAACCGCTCGGCAGTAACATAATGTTTTTTCAAACAACACTTTTTCCGATAGTAAATCAAGCAAGGTTATTCATAATGGATAATACATAACATACGTATTCATAATGGACAATACTGATGGTAAACCAATCATGGCAGAATACAATTTAATTTTTAGCATAGAATGCTTCCATTCATTCAAAATGAATAGGAAGGTTGCCCATTTTACGAATGTTTGTGGGTGCGTTGTCAACATTGTTTACGAAGCACTGCATTTGCAGTGCTTCTGATGTCTCTTTGCTAGCCGATGTTGTCGATTGTTGTATTGCACTTCATCAAGGATCGAAGTAGAAGGGTGCACAATCATTTAGGGTCTCCTGCATTATTGCATTTCCTAACCGATCTTTTTGAAAATTTATTGCAATAACCATTCTTTTTTTCAAAAGTTTTTTGAGAAGCCAAATGAAATCAGAATAGATATCGCATATAATATGTTGGCTTGGGACCAATAGTATCATGTTTATGGGACCAATCCATGTTCCAGCCCATGAATAAGTTTCTTTTCTATTAGATCCGCCGATTAGCTTCAATTGCAGAAAAAATGTCATCTGATTTATCTGCTGCCCAAAGTTTATAACTAAATCTCACAGGCTAGCCACGTATATGTCGTAGCATAAGGTGGCCATGTCGACCACAGTTGACTTTCTTCTCTGTCGATAGTCATTGTTATCACATTCGGTGATTACTGTTAAGAAAAACTTAGATCTAAGATCTAAATAAATAATTTCTAAGTACAAACAAGTTTTTGAAATACAATGCGTAACTATATCACATAGTAATCTACTGGGAAAATGAGATGGCCGGAATGCTTACACTACTGCCGAGCGGTTCCATTTAGAACCAGACAAAATATTTCATGATCTAAAAGACTTTAGAAACATTATATCACGTAATGCCATATACAGGATTAAAAGTACTCTCTTTATCGATAAAATTCTGCATCTAACTTATAAATAATATATTCTTAGAACGAACTACTTACCTTTCTCTGCAATGATGTCAAGCCCATCTGTCTGACACCCGGTACTTGCAATCTTTTAATGTTAACTGAGCAGAGAGTAGTCGGCGCAGCAGAACCAAACGTTGCCAGAACATGGACAAGATGTGTATCAAGCCTACGCATCCACTAGTATATTGATTTGACCATACAATTTTACTATGAATCAATTTTTTTCTGCTGGTTCCAAATGGAACCGCTCGGCATTAATGGGTTAAAAGTCCCACCTCACTGGCAGCTTAATTTCAGCAGCCTGTGAATGGAAATAAACAAAAAAATCTTGAAATATAGCATAGCCATCATGCTTTTTGAGAAATTTGTTGTCTACTTGCTTGGCTGCAGTTTGGAAAAGGTGCCACTTTGTGCTAAAAAAAACTTTGAAAACTTTGATATTGTGGTGGGCTGTTATTGATAGATGGTGAGTAAACAAGATAACAGTTCTTAGTTTTTCCATATTACCGTAAAAGGGGGTTACTTTGACTCCCGGGGTAAGTTTGACCACTTTTAGTTTTTTTTTAACAAAAACCCTCAAAACTCAAAAACTATTTGAACGTAGAAAAATTTTGTCAATGGGCATTAAAGGCATAATACTGAGGCTTCGTAAAACAATAAAAAGATTAAAAAAGTTTGCATATCTAATAGGTTAAAAAATGAATAATGCAACCCACATAAAAGAGCTATTATTTGAAGCCTTTCGTAGAACCCCCTCCATTTTTTAAATTTTTTTGGTAAAATAATTCCAGGTTCTGGTGCATTGTAGTAGAACTCTTCTAGTTACATATGCAAATGACAAATTTGAGGCGTCATAGTTTGCAAATGGGGGGTGCTGCCCCAATGGGGCAACTCTGACCACCTAATGGCAGCCATGTTACTCTGAGTATTCAAAATTTTTAGCATATGTTACATTGGTTCAAAACGTCAAACTACAAAAATTTTTAACACTACAAATTTCTTAAAATTGTTATTGATACTTGTTAAAATTGTTATTGGTATCCAGTCTACTGAAGTTTTTTAAAAAGTAAGAATATTTTTGTTCTAATTTGAGAGGCAGTTTGATTGCACTAAGAAATTGGTGTGCATTGTTTTGAAACAAAATTTTGCAATAGAATGATGGAGAAAGCCCTGCAAATAATGCATTCTGTACTTCAAAAGACTATACAAGATGTTTAAACTCTTTTATCATAGGCAAATGTGAAAATATCTGCATAGTTGATAAGAACTTTGCACCTAAAATCTGGACACTGCTGCACTCCTGGTGTTCTGTGTAGGTGGAGTTATACATGCCCTTGTTTTATTTGCATTTCTTTAGCTGCCATGATGAATAAAGGTTTATGAGGATTTCCTGAATTATTTTACAAAATTGTGCTTTGCAAGCTACCAACTCATGAGTTTCAACGTTGTCAGATATGAATGTTTTAACTGCATCTGTAAAGTAGGTATAAAAATCCATGCTATAACATACCAAATTAATCTAGAAAAATGGTCTAGTCTGATCAGAAATGTAATGTTACTCTAATTTTAATATAATAATGGTAAATTATAGTGAATGTAGATGTATAAATTGTCTCAATATGTCATGAGAGCAACGCATTTGGATTTGTGTATCACTATTCTATTTATTAGAAAATAAATTTGGACATTGGCCTGGGAATGAGGTGGGCATGTCATAGGTCCTTCTCTGTGGTGTGGCATTTTTCTTAGTATGCATGTTTTCTTACTGGTCGTAACCATTGTTCTCGGTGAGATATTCATACTTTTTTGCATGATGACAATCTTGAAAATTTCTACGCTTATTCAAAATATTTTTCAAGTGTAAAAATATCAGTGTGTGTCTTGAGTACCGTAAAATGGGGTAACTTAGACCGGCGGGGTAACTTAGACCACTTTTCGTTTTTTTAACAAAAACCCCCACAACTCAAAAACTATTTGACATAGAAAATTTTTGTCAATGGGCATTAAAGGCCTAATACTAAGGCTACATAACACAATAAAAAGATTTAAAAATTTTGCATATCTAATAGGTTAAAAAATTAAAAATGTGACCCACAAAAAAAAGCTATTATTTAAAGCCTGTCAGAGTACCCCCTCCAATTTTTTTATTTTTTCGTTAAATAACTCCAGGTTTTGATGCATTGTAGTAGAACTCTTCTAGTTACATATGAGGTGAGTGAAGCTAGAGTATAGACCTGTATTTTGCATGTTTCAATTCAAGTTTAATTTAGCTAGTAAAAAAATGGCATCATTAATAAAAAAAAGTGGTCTAAGTTACCCCATTTTACGGTAGCCAATTTCATAATATTTTTACCTGTGCCAGCAGTTGTCTCCTCCATGTGCTTTTTTAAAGAAAATATTTAGTGTTGTAGTATATGTGAGCCCATGTTTCCACTCCATATATCATGCTGTTAATTTGCTGTGTTCAAAATGAAAATGTATTGGTTAATAACTGAGCAAGAATTAGAGACATTATGTCTTTAATAGCACTTATAAGCAAATGAATGTCTATGACCAGTACTGTGCTATATTGTTTTATTAAAGGTGTGTGTTGTGTAGTGGCAGAACTGTGAAGTCTTGTGTTTTTCATGGTGAATGGTTCAAATTGTATATTGACATGATGCATTGTTAGTATTTAAGGGAGGCAACTTGGTACAGTAATGACTTGTGTGAATCATTGACAGAAATTCCAAGTCTTGCACTTTGATTTGATCTCATAATGTATCTAATGTTGCTTGCCTGGGATAATTATTTCAGTACATTTTCATAGCCTCTGTATTAACCTTCAGTTATTGAAAGGAAGGAAGCCTGTAGCATAATTATAACAACTTGCTGTTTTATCCAAATTATAATACTTTATACTGCAGTTTGCTCCAGTAATCCATGAGGGGAAGTCATCACACTTCATTATAAATACAACAGTTGATGCCATGCAAGAAAAAGGTTGTGTATATGCTGCAGAATTGATTACAATGCAAGTTCTAATTGATGTAGTTTTCAAATTACCTTAAGGAATTTTTGCTGTTGTTCAATTCTTTAATGAGCCATTAAAAAAAAACTTTCCAATTCATCATAGCAAGATGAAATTCTTGAGTGCGCTTGTTCCTTTATTTTTGGAGAAGATATGATATTGTAAATGTAAAAGACTAAATTAGTGCCTGATAGAAAGTAAACTGTAAAAAAAAGTACCTGAAAGGAAAGTAAAAAATGTTTATTTTTGTATTGCTTTAGAAGGCAGTAATAATGTAGTATGTTGACTGAAGAGGTGATGAATGGCAGTAAGAACCTGGTATGTTGCTAATGAAATTGGTATTGTTGTACCATATCATGATTTATCTCATGAATAGCAGAAGCAAACAATGTATGTACAAAACAGTCAAATTTGAGCACAAAATGTTTCATTAAAATCTAAAAAATTTTAGATTATAGTTACAATGAATTCATCCTTAAATTGCTGGCAATTTCTACACGCAAACGCTTGTAATAGTTATCTAGCAAATATTTCTACTTATTTATTATATGAACGTTACAAGTCGTTACGAGTTATTTTGTTCAGCTTTGTTTAATAAAAAAGGATGCGCTGTTAATGAAGCACATGCCCTGAATGCTGATAAATCTGACAAGTTTTGGCTTGGATATCAGCCGTATTTTTGCATGTATCTAAATGGGTCCTTCAATGAACACCAAAAATATTTTTTGTTTAGCATAAGTATCTTCAAGACGAACGAGAGACGAGGGCGAGAGCGTCGAACCCGATGCGTTTTTTCACTTCGGTCTATTATAAAAGTTGCGGGGGTGCGGTGCTTGCACGGCAGTTTTGTGGCTGCCATCACGTCACGTGGAACTGCGTATGGCAGGCCGCCACCTTACTGCGTATCGCCGGCCGCCGAGTTACCGCGTATCGCCTGCCTCCGCGTCTTGACGCTCCCGTAATCGGTGTTCGTTGTGTAGCGGTTACAACTCTTTACCACGGATTAGGAATGCGATGTCGAACTACCTGAACAATTCACCAGTGAATTACGTATTTTAGAGTGGAATCGATCAATTTATTGGTATTAATACCGTGTACTGGGTACGATGGTGCGATGTAGGCCAGGCAGTGCTGCTCCCGACCAATGGTGTTGTATATACCTGACGTCAGCTGATCGACCCGTCAATATGGAATGAGTGTTAGTGCCGTGGCTCTAGTGAGGCTAGTGCCGCGTGTTCTAAAGAGTGACGAGGTGTTCTCACAGCGCTGTTATGCTAGTGCGTTATCGAATGGCCTCGTATTTATTATATTTACTGCGCGTCCCTTTATTTACTGTATGAACTAACTTTGTTAGATACGGTAAAGGACGATCTTAACAAGATCTCTAAGGGTATCGATTGCATTGAGGTGCACGTCTCTCTATATTTGGTGACCTTGGAGTACATTCTGCTGTAAATGGCAAGCAGCACTTCACTTGCAATGTTTTATTCTATTGATTGATATTCAACTTCAGTGTTTAAATGATACTTTTTAGATTATTTCGTTTGGTAACAATGTGTACTAAGTTTAATGTACTTGTATCCAGTATATATTGCACATAACACAACGTAAATGCAAGTCTTTGTGCATTGAATTAGTATCTTGGTAACATTGCAGTATTAATTCAGTATTTTAAAAACAAATTGATATCCGCCATTAGACTAAAAATAGCAGGAGATTTTGTCCGCTAAGTCCCTTTAAGATGATTACAAATGTGTGATGCGGCTATGGGCGCTCTCTGTAGTATAACCGACGACGCTTCCGACTACGGTAGTTACGTGGATCACCGACCGCGCCGCTCTATCTGCAAACAAGAGTTCTTATCGGTCGATTTCAGTGATACTGAAACTGAAAAGGATTCATTGTACGTTCGACCGATTGAAAGCAAGGTACACGTTCGCCCGAGGATACACACACTATTTCTGTTGCTTATATGGGGCGCTTCTCGAGATAAACAAAATTAAAACCTCCGTCTCAATTTAGGGCAAGGTACTGCATGGACAAACTTATACTTTATTTATAACAGTTGACAGAAGATTGTTCATCAATGTTCATTGTTTGCAATACTCGACTTGGGATCACTCGAGCTGCTTTGTTAATTAATGTGCAGTAAATTGAAGCAAATGTAATTTGATTGGCGACACACAGCAGCATGACTCGAATGTTTCATGTGGATCAAGACAGGACTAATGGCATTACTTTTTTTTGGAACTAAGCATAAATAAGTGGTGTCTTCAATCGACATCTCAATTTTTTTCATTCATCAATGCTTCTCAAAAATTTTACCTTCAATTTATGTAACAATTGATGAATATTGCAATTGAAACAATTTTCCTCAATTATGCTAAATTCATTTGATTGCTACAACTTCTACAATGAACATAAGTTTTTAAAGAGATGGCATTTTATTTCCATTCAAGCAACTCGGTTCATCATTATGAATTTATCTGATATATGTGAAAAGATTTATTTCTGATGGTTGAACTTTATTGCAGAGCATGAGTGGTAATGGCTGCAAGGCTGGCTCAGGCCCCCAGGACATCGACGAGTCGCTGTACTCGCGTCAGCTCTACGTGCTGGGGCATGATGCTATGAGACGCATGGCGTCCAGTGATGTGCTTATTGCTGGACTGGGGGGACTTGGTGTCGAGGTTAGTGAAGAGCCATATGGAGCCTGAGGTGCAAGGCTGGTTATAATTGAAGAGTTCAAAATATGTGTTTCTTTTCAGTTGAATAATTGCTCCATGTGGATGTGTTATTTTCATAATAAACCCCTTGTGGGAATATATATCATAAGTTGAGCCGTTGAGGTAAGAACTGTCATTATGTTCTAAAGTGCTTATTTTGTTAGACTGATTAAATTTGATTCACAAAAAATTTAAAAGCTAAGATAACCACAAATAAATTCACAGACCAGCAAGATATGTTGAAATTTACTTGTTATCTTTGCTATCAAGTTGTTGGTGTGGTAAAGAGTGATTTTAGTCTGAGGTCCCAATTGATGAGTTCAAAATAGTTGAGAAAATTCCTAATGGTGGGCGTGATAGATTCATGTATTCATGAAGCTCTTTGTGTTCAATTGCTGATAGGCGGGATTATTTATCATGCGTGAGAGTAAATTTCACATGTTCTGCAGATCGCCAAGAATGTCATATTGGCTGGAGTAAAGTCGGTGACGCTGCAAGACACGAAGCTCGTGTCTCACGCTGACCTCGGCGCGCAGTACTACTGCAGTGAGAAGACCATAGGCAGCAACAGGGCTGAAGTCTCACAGCCGCAGCTTGCAGAGCTCAATACTTATGTTCCTATTAGAGTGGTCACCTCGCCTCTCACTGCTGACATCGTCCAAAACTTCAGAGTTGTTGTGCTTACTGGTAAGGAGGCTTTAAGCTATGAACAACGGTTGACGTTGACTATGAATTTTGGTTGACGCTCCTTAACTTGTCAGGGCCTCTTTAAATTATATAATCATGTGTGTGATACTAGACTAACTTGCATGTCAAGCCATGCTAAGTTCTCAAATAGAGGAAATGGTTTAAATAAATTGCCTCGAGTTAGCTGCCTATTTGTAGATGGGTGAACAGGCATTAGAGTGTTGAATTTTGGAGACCTATTGGGAAGATTTTATTGCTAAGAATATTTTTGTTTATAAGATTATGAAATCTGGGGTTAGTATTGCTGCTGTGCAGCTTTGTCCATGTTCTTACATCATTAATTTTGGACATGGTTATTATTATCATTATCTTTAAGTTATTATCATTATTGTTTACTGAATTGAATCCATACTTAATTATTCCATTATAAATTGTTGCAAGTGATATCACCGAGCCTTATTTTGGAATTAATTCTTTCTGTTACGTAAATAACAGGAAGAAGTAAAATATAATATTATTTATTATGATGTTAATGAAGACAGGAAGAATTCATTAATATAAATAACAATAAATATCACAGCAGCGCCAGGTATTTTGAGATGCTGAAGGGAATGTTGTGATGTTAAATTTATTGAATTGTGATGTTGAACTTATTTTATGATGTAACTAAGAACCTGATAATGCAGACAGTGATGAGGAGGAACTAGCGATGCTGAGTGAAGCTTGTCACACGCACGGCGTTTGTCTCATCGTCGCCTCTGCTGCTGGGCTCTTTGCACAGGTGACGTCTCCTTCTATATTGTCTGGAGCCAAGTTGTGTCTTTAAAAAGTAATTTTTAAACATATATTAAACATCCGCTGGAGCCTAGACCCAGTTCCTTGGCCTGCCAAGTCGGTCGCCCCCAGTCCACCTTATTTTGTTTTCACCGCCTCCGATATCTGATTTTAATAGGCCCGTATTATTGTAATGTCCAAATATCCAGTTTGATTCACTCCCCACTAGGACAATCTTTTATATTTGATGTTAAAATAAGAGTTTCATACTTGCCCACTTGCCTGTACTTCTGAGACAGATTCTTTCTCCCGTCCATGAGTGAGACGGCCGAGCCGTTGCTTTATTCGCGTCCAAATTCCTGAGATTTTGTCGCTGAAGAATTGTATACAAGATATTTGAGTGCTGTGTAAATCATTTGGTTTGATTGTCTATAATTTTAGCACCCTAGTGATGCTCAGTGTCGAGTGAAACACATGATTTAAGAAAGTTCTCCTTGGGAGAAATATTATGGCCTTACGCCATAAGTTTGAAAGAAGTTTTGGAATGCAAAGGGTATCCTTTTTATCAGACTACATCTTATGGATGTGTTCATGTTTGTCAAAGTTTATGTGTGTGTGTGTTTGATTACTTGACGCTGCAATATATGAGGGCTGGTGGAGCACGTATCCAGGATATTTATCGTGTTGGTATATTATCTGGGCCTGAAAATTTGTTCTTGGTGGGCGAATAGCACGGCATTGTAAAACTGGCAATAAAGAATTGCATACAAAATTAAAATTCTAATTGGTCTGGATAAATTTAACATATGCCAAAAATATTTTGTATTGGAATGAAATTCAAATTATAATTCATCAAAAATGTGGTTTTATCAGATTTTTATTTAATTAGCATACATTACTTTTGCTCCTATTACTGAAATTCTGAAATTGCACGTGTTATTGATCGTGGGGAAGGCTGGGCTAGCCTGCAGATATATATTATATACATGTGTATAAACGCTATAGCCTTTATTTGATAAAATATTTGAAAGCAAAGTTTATTTTAAAATATGTATGTTTCTATGCATTAAATAGGATAGCAAAGTGAAAAAGTTGGTGGGGCAACGACGTCATTTGTGCAGGTGTTCTGCGACTTCGGCAAGGACTTCGAAGTTGTGGACGTGGACGGCGAGCCGCCGAGCAGCGTGCTGGTGGCAAGCATCACGCGAGAGAAGGAGTCTGTGGTGACCTGCCTGGACGAGACGCGACATGGTCTCGAGGACGGCGCTTACGTCACCTTCAATGAAGTGCAGGGCATGGTGCAGCTAAATGACTGCGCCCCCATACCCATCAAGGTGAGTATGTGTTCAAGTGTTAAATATCTCAAAGGAAGATATTTAGATGTGTTCTCATCTAAATAAAGAAATAGATACTTCCGAAAGCGTGGTGAAGTGCAAGAAAATTGGTCTTGTTCCTTAGAATGTTAAAATGAAAGAACTGCCTACCAAGGTCATTAATTTTAACGTTTGTTCAACAGGTTTTGGGTCCCTATACGTTCAGCATAGGTGACACATCCTCGTTTGACGACTACGTGAGAGGTGGCGTGGCCAAGCAAGTCAAAATGCCGAAGAAACTCCAGTTCAAATCTTACCTCGAAGCTCTTGCCAGTCCTGAGTTCGTGATGACGGACTTTGCCAAGTTTGATCGACCTGCTCTACTTCACCAATGCTTCCAAGCCCTACGCCGCTACCAGAAGAAGACTGGCTCCACGCCTCGGCCCTGGAGCCGCGACGATGCTGATAGCTTCTTAGCGACCTTCAATGATGTCAATTCTTCAAGTCCCGTGAAAGTTGAAGAAGTCAACGAAGATATTGTGAAAACTTTCTCATACGTGTGTGCCGGTGAGCTCGTTGCAATAGATGGCATCATTGGAGGTATTGTAGCTCAAGAGGTTATGAAGGCGTGTTCTGGCAAATTTTCTCCATTGTACCAGTGGCTATACTTTGATGCGTTGGAATGCCTTCCTGAAGATAAGTCATCACTCACAGAGAGCAATTGCGCTGCTCGAGGTTCTCGTTACGACTCTATAGCCGCTGTTTTTGGTTATGATTTTCAGAAGACTTTGGGCAGTTTGAAGTATTTTGTTGTTGGTGCTGGTGCGATTGGTTGCGAATTACTCAAGAATTTCGCCATGCTTGGTGTTGGTACCAAAGCTGATGGTGGCCAAATCGTCGTTACTGACATGGACCTCATCGAAAAGAGTAACTTGAACCGTCAGTTCCTCTTCAGACCTTGGGATGTGCAAAAACCGAAGTCGGACACCGCGGCCGCCGCTGTGTTAGTGATGAACCCTGAAACTAACATAGTTGCTCATCAGAATAGAGTAGGGCCTGACACGGAGCAAACTTACAATGACGACTTCTTTGAGCTTCTCGACGGCGTCGCCAACGCTCTGGATAACGTGGAGGCTCGGCTCTACATGGACAGGAGGTGCGTTTACTACCACAAGCCCCTCCTCGAGTCTGGTACTCTGGGAACTAAGGGTAACGTCCAAGTTGTTGTACCTTTCCTAACTGAAAGTTATGGATCATCACAAGACCCCCCCGAAAAGACAATCCCTATGTGTACTCTTCACAACTTCCCGAACGCCATTGAACACACATTGCAGTGGGCGCGTGATATGTTTGAAGGAGAGTTCAAACAAGTGGCCGAAAACGCTGCCTGTTATCTTGGTGATGCCAAATTCATGGAGCGGACCCTCAAACTGCCGGGCTCTCAGCCGCTCCAGACTCTGGAGTCCGTTAAAAAAGCCTTGGTTACCGAGAGGCCTCTAGATTTCCAGGAATGTGTTGCATGGGCTCGCAATCACTTCGAACACAACTTCCATAACCAAATTCTACAGCTTCTTCATAACTTCCCCAAGGATCAAACTACTTCGAGTGGCGAACCGTTCTGGTCTGGGCACAAACGTTGTCCTCACGCCATTAAGTTCGACGTCGACAACAGCGTACATTTAGACTACGTGGTCTCGGGAGCTAACTTGAAGGCCGCTGTGTACGGTATCCCGCAGGTGCGTGACGCGAGCCTCGTCAAAGAGATGATCAGCAAAGTAGAGGTGCCGGTATTTGTGCCCCGCTCTGGAGTGAAAATTGCCGTCACCGAAGCGGATGCAGAGGCGCAGAATAATACTCTACCAGACAGTGAAAGCTTGTCGGAACTGCAGGCTTCCATTCCTAGTTTGAGTGATCTCAAAGGCGTGCACGTTACGCCTCTTGAGTTTGAAAAGGATGACGATCTTAATTTCCACATGGACTTCATTGTCGCAGCTTCGAACTTGCGTGCAGAGAACTACGACATACCGCCTGCTGACCGACACAAGAGTAAACTCATCGCAGGGAAAATCATTCCTGCCATCGCCACCACCACCGCGCTAGTCTCAGGCCTCGTTACCCTGGAGCTCATTAAACTTGCTCAAGGGCACAAGAAGCTAGAAGCCTTCAAAAATGGATTTGTCAATCTGGCGTTGCCTTTCTTCGGCTTCTCAGAACCTATTGCGGCTCCAAAGAATAAGGTGAGGAATGCAGATTTTAAAAGCTCATTCAATTGTCGTGTGTGAGCTAGTTCATGAAGTCATTTAGATCTCGTTGATGCGTTTTTCAGAAATTTGACAGCTATAATTCATTTCAACTTTCAGCATTTATGAATTCCCCAGCTACTGTATCACATGGTGTTGAATGATGATGTAATGGTCAGTCCGTTTCTCGATTTCATGACGCTGTTGATGTTGAAAAATATTCAGTTCGGCTGTATTCATTTGTGACTGAATTTCGTGTTCAGTACTATGACCACGAGTGGACACTCTGGGACCGATTTGACGTAGATGGAGAGATGACTTTGGCTGAATTCATCAACTACTTTGAGACGGAACATCAGCTCGAAATAACGATGCTCAGCCAGAACGTGTCCATGCTGTACTCCTTCTTCATGCCGCCTGCCAAGAGAAAGGAACGCATGGAAATGCCGTGAGTTCTGCTTACTTAATTATGAATACATCTTATATTTTCTCGAGATAGATGGAAACTAATATGTAGAATCGTTGACGGTTTTAAAATATAATGTTATTCACTATCTAAATTGTTTTTTGTTTTGTCAGGTACACTGATACTTGTGATTTTTTTCAGTCTGTCGGAGGTGGTGCGGAAGGTCTCGAAGCGTAAGATTGAGCCTCACGTGAGGGCGCTTGTGCTTGAGCTCTGCGCCAACGATAAAGACGGCGAAGATGTCGAAATTCCCTACGTCAAATACAATCTACCTAAATAATAACATAACGGCGCCGCGTGTAGTGTTCTCTTTCAAACACGTTTCTTTTTGCAGCCTCTATGTCTCATTTTACAGCCCTGATAATATTTACGCCTGATTTATTTCTGAAGTGGTAGTCTTTTATTTCTGCTACTAGGCTTTCAGCAGTAAGGTGAAATGATATTTATGTCATGTTTGGATTCATTCAATATGAGTTCTAAGCGATTTCAATAAATTGCCCATCATGGCATATTCGCTAGCGAGTTGTCTCAGTAATTGAAAGTTGAATCGGTTATCGGAACAGGCTTTGATGGTAGAAAGTTCTTAGAATCCTCTTAAATTGTGATATAGGTCATGATCAACTATAGAAGATATAATAATTGGATTCTATTATATTATTTATTTCTTTATTATTCATTTCTATCTTTCTGTCAGCCTATTGAGACGGTTTGTAGTATTATTTTAATACATTACTGAATTCGATATTTTAATTTGATTCTTTTGCGTTTGTCTGCCTAAATAAATGTTTGTTTTAGATGGAAGATGTGGGTTTCCTTGTGCTGGCTAAAATAACCCTCCATCCCAGTGAAGTGGTTCTTGGCAAAGTTGATCATTTTACGCAATTGTTTCGTTTTTGCGATGCATGTGTGACGCGTCACGAAGTTGTCTTGCTTATAAAGCTCGAAAAATATTGTCTCTTGGAAATATAATCACGTATCCTGTATTACAACATTCATTTCCTCAATCATTTCCTGTGCTTGGTTGCATTGCGTTTGAATACCAGGAGTGTCAGGCTGCTGAGTGGCGTAGCTTCTCACCGGAAGCGAGAATTGAGGGTCTTAAAAAAATGGAACGAGCTTCAGATGTTATCGGGATATATTGGAATTGAATCTGAAGCTATATTATTCCGATACATGCACTCCTACTCGCAAAGTTTCGTTCCGCAATTGGAGTTATCTTATTTTTTCATCTTCTAGCCTTGGAAGCGATTTTTCAATTCGCATGGCGAAGAATTTTTTTATACTACTCGGTGAGGTTCTTACTGGACACGATTAAGAGTGGTGGCAAGTGGTTGTGTGGTTGAGGGGCCCAGAACGTACATTGTACATTCTAAGAATGTTTTTGACATTTCCTCTGCTGGCCTTCATATTCGTAATGGGACTAAAGTATTCCTTCCTACTGAACAGATTTAAACAAAATTTCCCCCGTAAATTCCTGACGGCCTTCCGCTGATGTGTAATCGCGAACAGTTTTGGGATTACTTCTTCATTGTGGAGCGTATGGTTGCTCGGGCAACTCGTTCCTATTAGATTACCATGAAAAAAAATCCTAGAGACTAAGCACTAAGGTCGAATTTTATCCTATTTACATCAAAATTTATGTCCGAGTCAATAGGTTAGGCGCAAACTTTATTTTTATGCATTGTTTTCAAAAGAAATCGAAATGTTCGTATTACTAACATCATCAAAAGTTTTCGCAGCCGAACCTTTGTAAGTTGGAACGTTACATTGGGCGTTAGTGGCCTTAAAACAACGGATAGAAGGAAAGAAAGTACACGGATAAAGCCATCACATTCCTTTTACATCAATTGTGCGATAAAAGGGTGTACATTGCAGCAAAGAATAGTATAATTCGAAGGCCACGATGAAAATCCAAATATGAACCTTGTTCTATTAGAAAAACAATCCTCTGCACAGCCGCACCCTATAAATGAACGTGAACAGGCTAAATTAAAACGAGCTGAAATGGCTTTAAAGCCTAGGGAATATGGTACCTTACACGTCCACCGACATCAACGTGACGAAGATAAGAGCAACTCAGAGAAAATTTTGTAGCGTAACGCAGTACAAAAAAAAGGGAGGAAAGACAAAAAAATTCAAATATGACCCAAACCCAATGTTCGACTTGTATCAAAGTTCAAAGAGTGAGCACGATGCATGCTGGAGACAGAGAGCACATGCGTAAAAGGGTGGATGCAAGAAATAGATAATCTAAGACCGTAATGATGCAGTGTGAAGGTGAGTTACTAGAACTCGACAAATGCTCTCGCCTAGTGGTTCATATGGACAGCACAGGTGGCCTTAGAAATTGAAAACATGAACATCCGTTCTGATATACGGCACTTGTATTTCAGCGTGATACTTGTATTTCAGCGCAAAACACCACTCACTGCAATAAGCCAGCCAAATAAAAAAAAACTTTATTTTGATTCATTCCGATGAATGGTGTACAAAATTTAATCAATTTTTCTTCTGGTATTAATCCGTATTATACTCTAAACAAAGTTCGATACAATCGGGACGATACGTTGTGTAAATCCTCGGTCATTTTTATTGCTTGAGAAGTTACTGATGATTTATGATATCATCGATCGTGAAGACATTGGAACTGGTAGGGCGTCCCTCTTCACTTGACAGGTGCGAAGATGTACTTCCGTATGGTGTTGAGGGAATGATAGTGATAGGTGCATGTGGCGGCAGGGTTTCCAGTTTTTCTTTGGTGATAAGGCTCTGAAATTTTTCTTTCATTAATATATAGTTTCTGACCGGAAGTGCTCTCATTTCAGAAGCAATATGTTGGCCATATACATCGTATTCATCCAGTACTTTTTGTGAAGTCGATGGTCTACTCGACGCAATTTTTTGTAGTTTTTCTTTTGCGCTTTGAACTTTCGTAAATTTTGAAATCCGTGCCTTTTTTGCAATTGCCGTGGTATTTTTTGTACTCTCGTCAATTGGGAGGCTATCATCATCGAGATATGGAGTATCGTGTTCTTCACTTTCATGTAAGTCTACAATGACTGCTTCTTGTTGAACCTCATCGTCATCTTCTTCAGGGTAGTACTTCTGAAAAAAACGTCATCTTAAATTAAAATTTGTAAATGTTTACAGTATGTTCTCAGCTTTCAATTTAGGTCGTTACAAAAAATAGTATAAGTATTTCTCTTTTTGCAGGTTCCCCAAACTTCGGATGAGTGGAGGCAAATAGTACAGAAAAGCTTTGAGAAAAAATGGAATTTCTCAAGTTACTGTGGTGCAATGGATGATAAACATATAGCCATCAAACGCCCACCTGGAAGTTGTGCTGAATTTTACAGTTACAAAGGAGGGGACAGCATACTTGGAGGCGCTCCAAGTATGAACGCGTTCAAGAACAGACTAGATAAAGCTATGGAAAAATATATGTTCAGATAAAGCTATGGAAAAATATATGTTCAGATTTGAAATGCCTAGCTCCTTATCGAACCCGGTGGAAGTCTAGTAGCTATTTCAAACTATCGTCAGTCATGAAAAGATTCGGTCAAATGACGCAATTTTAGGTCTTCTGTGAACAAGGCACGAAAAGTAAAAGAATCGGCGACAGGCCACATCAGGCCTACACTTCAGCGCCGAGATCACTATGTTATGTTATGTTATAATACTGCTGGCTTTGACTGATGCCGATTGTGAGTTTCTCTACGTTGATGTGGGTACAAATGGACGGGCTAACGATGGAAGCGTGTTTCGATCGTCTACTTTAAAATCTGTCCTTGACAAAAACAGCCTAAATTTGCCTCCTGAACACATTATTGTAACAGATGATGCCTTTCCCCTGTCAACAAATTTAATAAAGCCCTTCTGAATAAGAAATTTCTTCTTCAGAGCTAGAGACGTCAAGAGCTAGGCGAGTTGTTGAGAATGCGTTTGGCATATTAGCATTTCGAAAAAGAAGTCGAAGTTGACGTACGCACAGTTGATGCAATTGTGCAAGCTGTATGCACTATATTCACAATTGGTTGCGTACAGTGTCGCCAGTTACATACTTTGAAAGAGGATGGGCTGATTTTGAGGACACTGAAACAGGTGTGTTACATCCAGGCCTGTGGCGCACAACTGCTATCGAGCTACCGTACCTATGAAGTGTTCGTGCAGTGAAGGCCCACTCCAAAAAAGCAGCAGAAAGGAGAAATGAACACATTCAATAGAGAGGGGGCAAGTTCCGTGGAAAATAAAGGCAATCGGAATGTCATTGTGGTTAAAAATAATTGAAAAATATTACTTATCATGTTCTATCCATGTGCCCGACGGCTCGTCTCATGTACTCCTATGAATTGTACCTATGCAAAAATATACCCATTCACATTTGAGAACATGTTCATAATTCAAAACCCTGGATTTCAATCGTAAACAATAAAACAAAACAAAAAATAAAGAAAAACAATTTAGGCAATTAATAATACATTATCCATTAAAACCTGATGGAATTAGCGAACAATAAATCAAATGATTCTTTGCAATCTTTAGATGTAGCTGTTGGGGGCCATTATTGCATCTATTCTGGTTTCTGTGAAGGTCTAACTCTGTACGGGGCGATTTCAATTACACTTCTTGTTTAAAAAATGTATATTCAGTATGTGATGAATATCATGTAGAAGCCTGTATATAACAAATTTAGTGAATAACAAATAAACGAACCCTAATTGAATAATGTAACACGAGCGTTTCATTTCTCCAGTACATGTATTTCCCCTAATTACAAGCCGTAATTGATAATTAAAATTTAATTATCAATTTTATTATGTTAAAAATTTTAAAATCCTAACAAAATTTCGATAACTAGAGAAAACACGGCGACAATCTCCTCTATCTTGACTCTAAATGCAATTTAAGCGATGATGGATTTGGATTTGGAAACCCTGAAATACGTATTGAGTCAGACCTTGCGTCAGACCTCACGACATTGCTGGTATTATTTCATCATTTATAGCGCGTAAAGAACTAGTTCAGTCGTTATTAGGAGTGTGCCTTCAAAATTGCGCGTTTCACTTCCTGACACGAGAAGCCAGAAAATTTAAACACTATTTAATAAGTTATCAATTCACGTCTTTAAACCACCACAACGACGACTCTTCGCATTCATCACAGCGAATTTAACTTCTAAGGGATATATAATAAGATATACATATAAGATAATAAGTAGAAAAGTTTATGAATTCGAAGACAACACTGCTCACGAATAGGTGTTCAAGCTCGATTTAACATCGTTAATAATTCAGTATATGGCATGCATTCACAGTTCACATTTTACTAACGGTTTCTGTGTCGAAAATGAGGCTTCATATTAATAACGCAATAAAGTCCCTCAATCATCCTGTGATTGAATTACGTGTCGGGGAATTTGATCTTAGGTGATTTTTTGGTGGGGAAAATGTGCCCAATAATTATTTGTTATTTTCAATTCAGCAAGGGCTTACTCAGTATGAATATTTGACAGGAATATATATGTTAAAATAATTTTTGGCGGCTACCGAGTAGCTGATAAAATGTTTATATTGAGTTTGGCGGGCGCTCCTCATGAGTCATTATTAATTTACAGCTATATTCTTCATGAACTGATTAGTGAAATATTACACACTAGACATTATAGTGACGTCTAGTTGCGATACATGTTAATGTATTTACTGTCAACTCATAATCGGCTGGATCTGTAGGCTAAACAGATGAACCCTCGGTAATAATATACGATAAATAATATAACTCCCTCAATATATAAAAATTTAAACACTATTCTAATATATATATATATATAACGACACTAAAAAAACACTAAAGCAACGCATGATATCCTAAATATATTGCAACAATTGAAAATAAAAGATGTCCACTACAAGTCACTAAGCACCGTGCAAACATGCTTACCTTACCTGCACCTCTACTCTAGAGACCAGATGTTTGTCTGCCGTCC